ATGGTCGCAATCGAAGGGAGGACTCTGCAGTACATCGCACTTTCAGCAGGTGAGATCCACCCTCTTTGGTATCTACTAATGCGTTGTTGTAGGTTCTCTAAGTGCTCTCTCTTGCGGTTTCCACCTCGGATGGCCGGGTCCTTATCTGCAACAGTTGGTCGAGGAGGACTCCGCGTTTCCGGTAACTGACAGCGAAGGTTCCTGGATTGCGATATCGTTCCTGATTGGCGCCTTCTGCGGGTCCGGTTTGTGCGTTGCGCTTCTGGACTGGGCCGGTCGGAGAAGACTCGTCATATTCACCAATTTTCCATTTGTCGCGTCTTGGTTGATGGTGGCGTTTGCGGGAAGCTGGTGGGAGCTGTGCGCGGCTCGGTTTGTGGCGGGACTGTCCGACGGTATGGTTTTTTGTGCGGTACCCCTGTACTTCAGCGAAGTGGCCGATGCTAAAGTTAGGGGTCTCTTCGTGTCGGGTTTGATAGTGATGCACCTGACGGGCGTTCTTTTTATGGCAGTAGTGGGGTCGTTCTTGCCAATGAAGAGTGTCGCTTTATTCTGCGTCTCAGTCCCGCTGATTGTGTTCCTTACATTTCTGTGGTTGCCCGAAACTCCTCACTATTACGTGGTACGAGGCGACCTGGAGAATGCCAGGCGAAGTCTGAGAAAACTAACCGCTAAGGTTGATGTGGAGCCGGAGATTGGTCACATTTTGGAAACCATGGACGACTGCGACGGTTCCAAAGGTAAATTGCTAAATTTTATTAGCAACGGAAACAGTCGACGTGGCATTGTCATTCTGTTGCTGATACGTACAGTGCAACAATTCAGTGGTTACGTCGCCTTCGTGTTTTACCTGCCAGCCATTCTTACGGAAGCCAGTGATTTTGTTTCTCCAGTCATATCCACCTCTATTTATTACACCTTGCAAATGACGTTTGCCCTAATTTCGATGGTAACCATTGATAGGGTTGGTCGAAAACCAATTCTAGTTTTCTCAGTTGCTAGCGTAACCCTTTCACTGTCAGTGGTGGGGGTGTATTTTTTGGTTCAAGGTTATGGCTACGTTAACCTAAAGGATTACTCCTGGATACCGCTCTTGGGACTTTTCCTGTTCATTAGCGGTTACAGTTCCGGGCTGCATTCTATACCCGTGCTGCTCGTGGGGGAGATATTTCCAATTGGAGTAAAAGTGCTAGCAATCACTCTATTCGATATGTACTATAGCATAGTTTCGAGCATTGCGTCGAAATTTTTCCAGTACACCAAGGACGAGTTTGGGATGTACGTTCCCTTTTTAACATTTGCCTGTTGTTGCGCTTGTGGTTTACCGTTTATCGTGCATTTTCTACCCGAAACCAAAAACAAAACGCTTGAAGAAATTCAAATTGAGGGGAAACTAAAGATAAAAGCATGACATGTAACAAATATACTATTTACACTTATTTACCTAATAAAGTATTTTTAATTAATATGACACACTTTTCTACAACGCTACTAACAGTCACTTTTAGGACACCCTCTATGTGAATGGTTTGCTATTGAGGTGTCGTAATTTGTAAAAAATCATATGGTGATATTATACAGTTAAAACTACATACATTTTTTGGAAGCTGGGGGTAACTCTTTTACACCCCATGTGTATAATATTTTGGCGCATTTTTCGGAAGCTGTTACAGTCCTTGTACTTCTACTCTCTCGTGTGACACGAACCATCGTTCTCGAATGCTTTTAGAGACATTTAAGGGCCCTTACATGTCTTAATAGTGATTTAGGAGTCTGCTTTGAAGATACCTTTATGACACTTTTAGTGATTGTTTAAGACATTTAAAAGAGCCGCAAACAGTTCAAGGGGATTTTACACGTCTTTATATATTATTAATCTTCGAGACCTTTAAGCGACTCTAAATGCATGTAAGAATCTTTAAGCGCCTCCAGCAGCTTCTTCTAACTTTCAAAGGCCCCCAAAACTCCACTACGGTCTGCTAAAAACCTTTAGAGTCCTTTAAAACCTTTAAAAATTTTAATTACCTTCAAAGAGGTCTCAAGGTTTTATAGAAGCTAGCTCTTTAAGAATCTTTGATAAAGCCTAGCCTTTAAGAGGCTGTATAAGTTATTAAATGGTTTTAAGGGTTTTCAGAGTGCTTAAGAATTTCATCCGAAAGTCTCAAAGGTCTCATTGTCTTCCGGAACTTCTTACACCACTTTTGATGCTATCTTCTCTTTAAATGCGTCCTTTGAGATCTTAAAAAAACACCCTTAAGGGACTTAGCTAAGTGCATTTGGAGTCTTTGAGGGTCATTAAGAGACTGGAAAAATCTTTTTGGGCCCTTAAAAACCAATAAACATTACGATAAATCTCTAAAGGTTTTCAATAGTCTCATGGGGATGGGTCTTATAGGCGCTTTAAAAGCCTTTAAGAGTATTTAAATCCTTTAAGAGTATTTAAATCCTCCAATGGCCACCAAGTATCTTAAAGAGTCTCAAGAAGGCTCCAAGGGCTGTGTAGACTTTATTGTCTTTGGTCTTTCCTGAGTCCTTAAAAGCCTTTGCAATCGTGTATGGTCCTCTAAAATCGTTTAAGAGTCGTTAAGGATTACAAAATGATTCCAAAAGCATCTAAGAATCCCAAAGGTCTCCCAAAGTATTCGATAACTTCTATTCTATTTCCTCCGAAACTGCCTACTCTGAGTGCATTTTGGGATCTCAGAGAGTCTTTAAAGATCCCGTTTTAGGTATTATCAATATTTGAGATCCTTAAGAGTGCATTTATGAGTCTTTAAAGTCTTTTGTCTTCAAAGTCCTCGAAAAGCTTTAGGAGTCCTTAAAAAGAGTTTTGTTGACCTCCAAAGATCTGCAAGAGTCCCAATGAGGCTCCATGGGCCTTCGAGGTTTCAATACCCTTTAAATTGATTCGATTCATTAAAAGTCTTTGAAAGTCCTTAACGGCCTTGAGTTTAGCCTTAGCCTTTAAGAGATTTTCTTTAAAACGTTTAAAAGCTTTTATGGGTTTCAACAATTCTTTAGGAGCCTTTAAAGATCGCAAATGGCCTTCGAAGCTTTTAGAGCCCTTTCTCTCTTCAAGTTCCTCGTTAAATTTCGAAACTGGGAGCTTTAGCCTCTTTAAGGGTCTTCAACGAATTTTAAAAGCTCTATGAGCTTCTTTAAGGGTCTTGTTAGGTACTGTCGATCGTAAGGAAGATCTGTTGGGAGTCTTCGAAAGACAAGATTCCTCAAGCTTCCAAAAGTCCACTACAGTCTTACAAAAGCTTTTAGAGTCTTTAAGATCCCTTACATGTTTCCATTTCAAAGCGTCTCCCACAATCCTACAGTACCCCCTAAAGTGTTTTAGATTCTTTTAAAAGCCAATCTGAGCGCTGAGAGTGTCCCCAAAGTATTAAATAGCCCTTAGACCATTTACGAACTGAAGGAGCATCTAAGGGTCTTTGGGAGCCTTTAAGAGTCTCACGCGCTGTTTTTAACAGCCTTTGGAAGGCTTCAAGGGTATCAGTTTTCTGAAAGTTGTCTTCAGCCTTTAAAAACCCTCAAGAGCCCTCATGGGCCAAAATTCTTTAAGCCGCAGAAAGCTTCCAAAAGTCTCTCAGAGTTTCTCAGAAGTTTGAGACCTTTATTAGATTCTATGTACTCTTTCGACGCTGAGCGTAAAAGCTTTCTAGGTCCTTAAAGGCTCTTTAAAAACCTGAAGACTCCCTTTAATATCCTCAACTTTAGGCACTTGTTGTTTAAGGATCCCATCTCTTTTAAAAGATTTTAAAATTTGATTTTTAAATGTTTAAGGACATGTGGAGGTGGTCAAGAGCCTTTAAAGAACCATAATATGCTTTAAGGATATGTAGCCTTTAAAAGGTTTTATGAATGCTTTAATACTTATTAAAAGCATTATGTGTCTCATTAAGAACTTTTAAAAGCCTCACTGACTTTCCGAGCCTTGTAGAACCTTTTTTGAGGCTTGAAGAGCTTATGAGTTTTTGATGCAGCTCGACACTCCACTTTCGACGGACAGTGTAGACTATCCGATCAAAAACCAAATCAAAGATCCCTAAATATCTTGGGAATTTCTCAAAACTGGTGTGTTTTCAAGCGCCTGTGTCTAGAATCTTCCATTTTCTCCAGAGATGGCTACATGGTACAAATTGAAAAGTGGCTTAAGTTCCACTACAAAGATCTTTTTCTATCCATTAAAGGCGTTGGAATGAACACTTTGTTCAAATAAACCAAAGGTCCCAAGGACGTAAGTGATTCTGATAGGTTAAAGATTTGTTGCACCGTATACAACTTATCACCATCTCACCTATGTAAATTCATCGCAATTGTCACACTAAATTAGGCTGTCGTAAAAGCGTAATCCACGTATCTTATCTTTTCGCCTCAAACATTACCAAGATAGCTCACTTTTCGTCCCGAAATGGTCGCGATCAGAGGCAAGGCGCTGCAGTACGTCGCACTATGCTCAGGTAAGGCTCTCCATTCTAGGGGTACGCTCACTCACACGCGCTTTTAGGTACGCTCACGGCGCTCTCGTGCGGTTTCCACTTGGGATGGTCAGCGCCTTACGTGCCTCAGTTGGTCAGGGACGGGGCAACGATTCCTGTGTCGGACGGCGAGGGCTCCTGGATCGCGATATCGTTCCTGATCGGCGCTTTCTGCGGATCGGGATTGTCGGGTTTGCTGCTGGATCGGGTGGGACGTAGAAAGCTGATCATTTTCACGAGTCTGCCTTTCGTCGTGTCGTGGTTGATGGTGGCGTTCGCGACGAGCATCTGGGAGCTGTGTCTTGCGCGATTTATCGCCGGACTGCCCGATGGGGTTGTCTTCTGCGCGGTACCGCTGTACTTTGCCGAGATCGCCGACGCCGAAGTGCGTGGACTGTTCATGTCGGCTCTAACCTTCATGCAGCTGGTGGGTGTTCTTCTGATGGGCGTCGTCGGGCCGCACTTGCCTATGAAGAGCGTCGCGTTGTACTGCCTTTGCGTTCCTGTAGTTATATTCGCGACGTTTTTGTTTCTTCCGGAAGCTCCCCACTATTACGTGGTGCGAGGCGAGTTGGAACGTGCCAGGGAGAGCTTGCGAAAGTTCACTGGTGTTGAGAACGTGGAGGAACATCTAGGATCCATTTTGGAGACAGTGGTCGAGTGTGACAACTCCAAAGGCACCTTAACTAACTTCTTGACCAACGAGAAGAGCAGGAGAGGCATTCTGGTTCTGCTGGTGCTAAGAGGCGTGGAACAATTCAGTGGGTATATCGCCTTTGTGTTTTATTTGCCCGCCATTCTGGAGGATGCCAAGGATTTTGTGTCGCCCACCACATCTACCGCCATTTACTATAGCCTGCAAATACTTGTTGCTTTAGTAGCAATGGTGATCATCGACAAAGTTGGCCGAAAGCCTCTGTTGCTTATTTCGGTAACCATCGTGAGTATCTCACTGTCACTGGTTGGGGCGTACTTCACGCTACAGAATCTATCTGGCATCGACTTAAAAGACTACTCCTGGATACCACTCGCAGGTCTCTTACTGTTTATAGTAGGATACAGCGCAGGGCTACACTGCATTCCGCTGCTGTTGCTAGGCGAGTTGTTTCCAATTGGAGTCAAGGTCCTAGCAATGTCTTTATTCGACATGTACTATTGTCTAATATCAAGTCTCGCGTCAAAGTTCTTCCAGTACACGAAGGACGAGTTTGGCATGCACGTTCCTTTCTTAACGTTTGCCCTTTGTTGCATTTGTGGTGTACCGTTTACTATTTACTTTGTGTCTGAGACCAAGGACAAAACCCTGGAAGAAATTCAAATGGAATCAAAGTCAAAAGCAAAGGTCTAAACGAGCATGTGATATTACCCAATAAGAGCGTTTTAATAAATGACAATTAATTGCTACCTTCTAAGCTTTGATAATCACAAACCAAAGAGAGGGGTAAAACCTGTTCCAAACCAGTATACTGCCTCAACAGCAAAGGAATTTGATGGCCACGGTAGAGAAACCCCTCCAGTACTATCCCACTTTCGGTTAACAAAATGAGCACACAGGAAATGTCTACTACGAAATGTAGGGGGTTAATTCCGCTTTGTCGCTTTGGTGCCCATAGGTTTGAAGTTTTGCGATATTAACATTCCCAGGTGCGGAAGTTTTAGCGCATTGAGCCCTTTTGTCGCTTAACCATGCCATAGTTACGTGTAAAAAGCGCTGTAGGATAATGACGCTCAAAATACCAACATGATTGAGGCTTCGGATCTTCAATTTTACATTTGTCCATCTACTTGAACTCTAAAATCTCCTTGTCCGAGTTCCTCCAACCTGGGCGTTGGAATCTTGCAATCCTGGAGATCTATAAGGATTTCTAGATTTACTAGTGTTCCGGATTTTGGATTTCTCTGGTGAAAGATTCCTTCATTTGTATCTATAGCTCTGAAACCCAAAGGATTTGAAAAGGGACTAACGCAGTGGTATAAAAGGGATAAAAAATGGGGAAGGAAGCGAAAGGGGAGTGAAAGAGGAGGAGAAGTGATAACTAAATACAACAGGGAAGGAATGTGGGATGCTAGATGAAAGGGGGTAGAGGCTAATATTGTAGAGAGATTTAAATGTCAGAACAGGGGATAGAGCAAAATGAAGAACACAAGATAGAAAGTCAAAAGATAGAGTATGCAACAAAAAGAGGGGTTGGAGACTATCAATCGAAAATATGAAGGGTGTCAGGCACAGGCCATTACATATGCACGGAACGAAGAAGGAGGTCGGTAATTAATTACATACTATAGCAAAAGAAGAAATATTGGAAGAAATAAAAGAATACAAAGTAGGAACAAGGATGGAATCGGATCACTAGCCAATGGAAATAAATCTAAAAAGGATTATAAAAAGGATAAAAAATTGGAAACATCCAAATACGAAGGGAGATACAATTATGGACAAAGGATACTTATAAAATGATACTATAGGAACAGAAAGAAGGAATAGGAGAAAGTACAGGGGAGTGAAAAACCATGAAACAAAGTATTAAAGGGGCAATAAACTGGATACAGTTAAAGGAAGGGGAAAGAGGAGATGAAAGGAGTTGTGGTTTGTAAGCGAGAAAGAAAGAAATGGAAAGCTAGAGCAGACGGAGTTAAGAGAACAGAAAAGTTACAAAAGAAAATGTAAGGGAAATATAACGAAAAGGAGTACAAATGTATCAGGGAAATAAAAACAAAGAAGGACTTTTGGAAGATGATATACAGAGAAAAAGAGAAAAACATTGAGCACCAATTAAAGAAACTGAAGAACTGAAGGAGTTATATGGAGAGACAAGAAGGAGAGTAAGGATAGAAGGGAAGGAGTCTGAAGTGTTTTGGATATATAAAGATCTGGGACAAGGCCTAACCTTATTTAATTTCTACATAAGGGATGTGGTAAAATATTAACACAGGTTCAAAGTGGAGGGATCGCAGTGGAAAGAAGATGGCAACAGATGAAAAGCAAACGAAGGAAATGATAGGAAATTTGGAGAGCTGCTGGGAAAAGGAATGGAATTAAAAAATCGAATATGCTGAGGTAGATTAGAAGTGGAGGAAAGAAAGAATAGAGGAAGTAAGAGAATTTACACCTTCAGGATACTGAATAAGGGAATTAAAAAAAAGGAGAACTGGCGCTGACACCGACGTGGGGAAAGGGAGCGAGAATATTTAAAAATCAGTTCGGCATATTTTGATGCAATGATGAGAGGAGTGGTGATTGATGAAACGGAGGTATGGAGCTGGAAGGAATGGGATGAACTAGAAGGAATACGCAGAGGGTACTACAAATACCAATTTGGGACTAAACGAAATGGCACCACATTACATATTATAGGAGGAAGTAAAAATGGAGAGGATAAGGACAGAGTTGGAATGTAGGGCGGCAAGGTTCGAGGAAAGAAGTCAAAGAGGGAGTTCATTGACGAAAGAAGGTTTATAGACGAGAATGAACACAAAAGGGATTTGGTGGGAACAAAGAAAAAATATTGTAAAAGAAACGGGTTTGGGTGGACAGAGGTTAAAAAGAGGAGAGAAATAGGGGAAAGGATGGAAAAACTTGAAACAAAGGAGAAAGGTATACAAATAGAGGGAGATAATCGAAAACCCACGAGGAAGCAGATAGTACAAGGGGCTGATAATGTAGGGGTGCCGAAATACCTAAGGGAGGGAAGGAAAGCTATCAAACTAATAGCAAGGTTTAGATGGGAAAACGAGGAGAGAGGGATTATGTGGAGAGAAAGGAGAGATATTGATGTTATATAAAATTTTGTGTGTTAGAGTGGGAGATAGTCCCTAAGAGATCTAATGCCCTCTAGTGTTTTTCACAGAGAGTCCCCTCGAAATGGTTTCTGTAAATTTTTTCAGAATCTAAAAGTTTTCTGAGAATTATATAGCTTTAGGGGAATTAGCTTAAATAGTTCTTAACGGTTTCCAGTGTTCTTACATAGAGGATTGTAGAAACTGTTTACTTGAAGTTCTATTTTCTCTTTATGTGCCAAACATGTTTTTGGACCATTCCCCTAAAAGTAGTTCAAAACCGCAGAAGTGGGTCCGGGCGGACGGACAGACGGACGAACGGACGGACAAAACACAAACAATAGCACATTTTTTAAAGTCTGCTAAGGGTTCTTAATGCTCTACAGACTACAACAACCTTAACAACTCAAAAATCGCACACAATTTCTAACAGTCTTTAAGAGCCTCCAGATCTTTCTAAATGCTCTCAAGAGGTCTTAATTTTAAGAGTTTTTAAAATCTGAGGCTTTAATGAAGACTCTTATGTTCCGAAAGTCTTAGGTAATGCCATTAGTTCTATTGGTTACTCATAACAATTAAAGAGAGAAAGCCAAATCTTGAAACCTTTAGCGACCGTTGCTTTATATGAAATAATTTTATTTTCTTACACCATTACCTATGTGTAACATCCTATATAAATTCCTTATAGAACGAGACAGCTGAAATTAAATCACCTATTTCTTACACTTCAATCTCTACTTTTCTCCCCTCTTTCAGCTGCTTCCCTTCGCCGTTTGCCCTTCTTTGCATTCCCATAGCGTATGCTGTATGTCCTCCTCTTCCTGTCCACAGATTCTACACTTTCTCTCTTCTTTTCTACACTTCCCTTTCAGCCTCTCTCATTTTTGCATCTGCGCCTCGCTATTATCTTAATATTTTTCCTTCCTTCCCACAATTATTTTGGCCGTTCTTCGTACCTACTGTTTCCTCCTGAGCTCTTTAACTGCACACTGTGTTGCTGTACTTGTGGATGAATCTTTCATCATTTTTTGTATTTTTCCCCTAATCCTATGAATAGAAAAAGTTAAACATAAAAACTCATATCTGGGACGTAATTTGGGCTCGATTAAACAACAATAGATCTTTTCCAGATGAATCAAAGTTTATGGGACAAAACAACAAGTAATCTATTCACACAATTAATTAAAGAGGTCTTAATGATCTTAAAATATCAAATTGACAATACTTCTGAGAACTTCACTTCTATGGTTGCATTTGAATTTCTATTTAGACGACGCACTGGATTCGTTGTAATTACAGATGTAAAATTGGCACTTTGATGGTGGAACAACTCCCTTTAACTGGGAAATTTCTTTGTAAACGTAAAACACGCTTCTACATATCTCCGCTTATACCTTTACTTAAAAAAAACGACGTATTAGTGAAACCTTTTATTGCACTCTTCTATAACAAGAGTTGCCAATTCAACAGGACTAACTGGATGTGACGCTATCTCTCCGGGAAATACGATGTGCTTTGTTCGAGAATATTCGCTTAACCGCATAAAATTGCTTATTTCTTAATGTATGGAAGTTTTGCTGCGGGATTGCGTTCCCTAGTCTCGAATCGTGCAACTCCGAAAATTCAGAAGATAATAAATCAATAATCGTGCCACGGCAGGACTCCTACGTAACCAAAAAACCCTGCTATACTTTAGGTCGCATCCAGCCGTTACACGCTGGCTTTAGATTCGTCAAAAACGCTTTTCCGTCCTTTTTCTCCAATTCCTTTCCATCCAATATGTGTAGTACATATTTGAATCATACGGTCTATTCAGTATATCTTCCGTTGCACGTCATTACCTGAAGAAAACGACGTACCAACGTAAACTTACTTTCGTTTATTAGGCAACACATTAAGCTTGTAGTTTATTTTGGCCGCAACAATTGGTAGCATTTCGCAATGTTGTCGCGTTTAAATCACAAATCATTTTTTGTATGTGATTTGTGGTTTAAATTTGTAAATTTGACAGGTTGCTTTTGGTTTACTTTTCGTTTGATCTGATTTTGATTATTTTCTACGTCTTTCGCTGTGCATTGGTTTGAAGAGAAATTACTGAAGAATTTAGATAACCCGTCAGCAATTGTGTTCGATAACGGGCAAACAGACAACATTAAAGTGTGGTTAGGTGATCATAATGTGCAGTTCTCCGAAAATGATTTTAAAGCCGAACTGTTGAAAAGGTTGCACAGTAAGTACGTTCGCAAATTATTTGGTATTATCTAAATCTTGTTGATACTTTTAGGAATAAATCAGCTAAAATGTACCGCATAACGCATTGACCACTTAGCCGAGCATTACGGTTACTTCGTTTTACGATTACCACCCTATCATCGCGTTTTTAATCCTATCGAACATATTTGGGGCATAGCGAAAAATTACTACAATCGACACATGGGTAGAGATGGACGAAGCATTGAAATTGCATAAACAGAAACACTACAACGATAACTTCCGAAACGTGGCGCAATTCAGTTAAGGATACGGAAACTGTAATACACAAGTGGTACGAAAGAGAAAAGCAATTAGATCTTGAAAACGTTGCTACTATTATTATAAACTTTGAACACGAA